TGGTGCTGTCCAATTTTCGCAAGACTTCTTAGTTCTCCAAGTGATGATGTTCGTGAGCAGGTATGTTTTGCAAAATAACTATGTCATGCACTGTTTTGTTATAATGCCTACTCTGTTTCTAATACGAAGAACCTCCAACTTTGCAATTGTTTATTTGGATTATTCGATTTATTTAGAATGTTGTTACGTGAGCAGGTGTGTTTTGCAAAATAAATATGCCATGCAATATTTTGCTATAATGTCGGCTCAGATTCTAACACCGACAAATACCAACTTTTTGTTTTGTTATTTGGATTCTTCTGATTTTTTTTGGAATGTTGCGTAGGCAGTTTGGGCCTTGGGAAACGTTGCCGGTGACTCACCGAAATGTCGTGATCTTGTCCTTGGTTACGGAGCTTTAATGCCATTACTAGCACAATTTAATGATCAAGCAAAACTATCCATGTTACGCAATGCAACGTGGACTCTATCTAATTTCTGTCGGGGAAAGCCTCAACCCCAATTTGAGCTGGTTTGTCCTTCAATTATTTTACCGTTTGTTGAGATCATTTCATCACGACAATTCCATCAATAACGAGAACCTATAATGTGAAAAATCTTGTGCAGGTCAAACCAGCCCTTCCTGCTCTTGCTCATCTTATACATACAAATGACGAAGAAGTCCTAACAGATGCTTGCTGGGCACTTTCATACCTATCTGATGGTATTAATGATAAAATCCAAACTGTGATTGAGGCTGGTGTGTGTCCTCGTCTGGTTGAGCTTTTACTGTAAGTGACAGTATGCGATAGTGTTCCTAATTTTCATCTTTATTAATTGTTGAATATTTTGAATCCCCATTAGGGTTTGTAAATGTTAATGGTGATTTCTCATTCTGTATTTTGTTTTTGTTTTTTTAATTTGACAGACATCCCTCTCCATCTGTTTTGATTCCTGCCCTCCGTACTGTTGGTAATATTGTGACTGGTGATGATACTCAGACTCAGGTATTTGTTTGAATCTCGTACTTTCATAACTGTATTTACTATGCATCGCATACATTTCACTTTATTTTTTGGAAGAGGATATCATGTGATTAATATTAGGTTTACAATGATATTCGAATATCAAATTAATTAATATTTCGTGGCTATTTACTATGGATCTTAATTTATTTTATTTCTTAATCCCTAGTGTTATTTTGGAAAGTTAAAACTACTTAACTAGCATATCATTAGAAGTGTATTACCACCGCTATCCAGTATATGGATATTAATTTCATTCTCTTTCTTATGTTTCCGTTAACTGCAGAAATTCTTCTAACTTTACACTCGTGTTCAGGTTATCATTGAGCACAGGGCTCTTCCTTGCCTGCATAACTTGTTGACACAAAATTATAAGAAAAGCATAAAAAAGGAAGCTTGTTGGACTATTTCAAACATCACGGCAGGAAATAGAGATCAGATCCAGGTGGGCAAAATACAAATGAATCATTTTATTTAAAAATCCACACAAATTGATTGATGAATTATATAAGGGATGAAGAAAGCAACATTACTTCCTTTCATTTTGTGGAAGGGGATATCAAGAAGTATCTAGTTTATCGTGTTGTATTTGAAAGCTAATTTTCTAAGCTGCCATCTTGTTACGTGAATGTTAATAGATATAAAATTGACGAGGCTTGTCGATTGAGTGTGCAGGCTGTTATTGAGGCTGGTATAATTGCCCCCCTTGTGGCTCTGCTTCAAACTGCTGAATTTGAGATTAAGAAAGAGGCTGCATGGGCACTTTCAAATGCCACTTCTGGTGGAACTAATGACCAAATCAAGTACAATATATCTTCCTCATCCCACCAATTTCCTTATCATTTTAGCGCATAATGTAGTTTTCGTAAATCAATCCGAGTTATTTTGTTGCAGGTTTTTGGTTCGTGAGGGATGTATAAAGCCACTGTGTGATCTTCTGGTTTGTCCTGATCCGAGAATTGTCACAGTCAGCTTGGAAGGTCTTGAGAACATTCTCAAGGTGGGAGAAGCTGACAAGAGCCAAGGTAACACTGGCGATGTCAATGTCTTTGCCCAGATGATTGACGATGCTGAAGGTCTTGAGAAGATTGAAAATCTTCAGAGTCACGACAACAACGAAATCTACGAGAAGGCAGTTAAGATTCTCGAAACTTACTGGTTGGAAGAGGATGATGGTGAGCTGGCATCAGGCGATGCTTCACAATCTGGTTTCAATTTCGGAGGTAGTGACCTTCCAGTTCCACCTGGCGGGTTCAAATTCGGGTGAAGGTAAAGCATATTTCGTCAATTCATCATCACACAAGCTTGTTCTATTGTTTTAAATCAATATTTCTTTCATGTGAACATTAACGCCCAGCATTGTTGAAAATTACAGGAAGTTGTTATATTGTGTGAACGAATTTACTATGGATCTGGCTGTGGGTTGAGTTGTTGTCGGTCTCTAAGGTTTTGCCATGGAAGGTTCAAATGTGAGTCGGGTGTATGAAGAGATAAGTCCATCTTTTGTTTGGTCCCTCTGAGGTGGGTGGAGGAATTAATCGAGTCGTGTCGTGTCGTGTTGTGTTATCAGCCAGTTATTGCAAATTTTTTGGGATGCAAATCAAACAACTTGAAAACTAGAGTCTTCTTCTTTTATTCATCTTATTTTGGGGTCTGTCCTATTAGTTATTTTGAATCATAAAGTCTTTTTATGTAAATTATTACATGGAATGCATTTTGCATGTATGCTGCTGCTGGGTAAATAAAGTTAAAACGAGTCATATATTATTATTACATGTATCTCTTCAAGATTTTTGTTCAAGTCATATATTAAAAGGAGTCATACATTATTGATTTTTCTTTTTTAATGTATTTAATTAAGTGTTTAATAAATGTTCTGTGGGTGTAAGGTTACTAGGTTAGCATCTTATTGCTGCCTTTTTGTGTATTGTATATTTGCAATTTGGCGGGCTGTTGTCAGATTGAACAAAACTGTGTTGAAAAAAGAGAGAGAGAGGGAGAGAGAGAGTACATCCTTCCTTTTGTGTAGTCTCGCTCAACTATGTAGAAGAAACAGATTTTATCGTTATATAAAATTTTGCCTGGGCCTATATCTCGATTTCAAGTAATATTGGGCTATGCACATGGTTTTGTTAAGCCCAAAAATATCCTTGGGCTTTTCTATATAGATTAATTAATGCCGAAGCTTCTGAAATTATTTCACACGAAGCGAAGCAGTACTTTATAAATATATTTTACCATAGTCCTGTCCTTTTCAGTAAAATCACTATGACCCACAAGAAAAAGTTAAATCAGTATAAACCCTAAACAAAAGGGTCTCGCCCCTCTTTTATAGCGTACGGTTATCAAAACACACAACAACTTGAGAAAAAGCTAATTATATTCATTATTTAAAAAAAAAAAAAAAACTAATCTTGTAATTATTTAATGTTTATTCTGTGTGCAACCGTCGAATATTACGAGGACAAAATTGTAAATAGAAAAATAATAGATCCTGTCCTGTCTTTTCATACCAACCCCGAATAAAATGAGCCGGATTCTCGTCCTTCTCCCCAACTTTTTCTCCATATTATCCTTTTTTTTTTATAATTTATAAATAAACACTTTTGAGTTTTGACTACTTTAATTAATAATATTTTACATAAGTATGTCATGATTTTGTACTACAGTACTAGTAAATCTGGATTATACTGTACGCGTAACAGTGCTTCTTGTATCAGAAGAACACCTCTTGTACCTTTTATCTTGTGGAATTTATTTCTGTGGCCCCTAATGGATTTACGAGTTTATGCAGAAATAAAATATGATAATAAAACGAATATAAATATAAAAAAAAAAAATTTATTAGTCCTGAAGTACTAGGTGGAGGTGACTCTTTGACTGTTAGAACGAAGAAGGTCAACTCAAATTCTTAGGTATACTCTTATCTACTATCTACATGGTACTACTATATCAAATCAAACTTCAAAAAATTATTTTTTAATAATTTTGTAACTCATATTATTAGCCAACAAACACCACCAAGGATTTATTGTGAAATTCATAATTTTGAATGGTTTATTGTATTTTGAGTGTGAAAAATATATGTTTAGGGATGCAAAAGTAGTGTATTGACCTTTGTCACATAATCAAACCTCATTGACTTTTATGAAAATAGTACAATGTTTCCCCATTACTCATTAGACGTTACCACCAAATTTATATTTCTCACAATTTTAGGAAAATCTATTATTCAATTCGCTAGTACATAAAAAACCCTTAATTAGAGTTTCCGTCAATAAAAAAAAAAAAAAAAGGATGATCACGGAAGGCGAATGAACGGCCCAGATTGCTCATGTAAACAAAAATTCAAATTTTGAAATAGAAGAGGTGCCCGAGAAAAAGAAATCGACGAGGGGCAGTATAGTCAATCAATAAATGTAGAGTCAGCTAGGGTTTCGTGTACGGCTGGCTTTTGCCATCATATTTTTTTTTTGTTGAGATATATAAAAAGATGAGATCATCCAGAAAACACACAATACACACACTAAAACTCACTCACTACTCTCTCTATTTCTCACTGCAGCAAACGCCTCATCACTTAACACTGATCATCTCTCTCTCTCTCTAAACCTGATCATTATAATCTCGACTTTTTTTCCTTTTTTCCTATTTACATTTTTTTTCTTTTAAATTAATGTTCGTGTGATCGTGTATTTCTTCTGTCACACCCCCTCAAAAAAAAAATTAAAGTGTGGAGAAGTAGTATTCTTTGTGATGATATGGATCTGAAAGAAGATAAGGTGAGGAATCATGTGATTACACACATTCGATCAAATCTTTTCAACTTTAACTCTCTCTCTCATCGTTATAGTATATTCCTTTTTGTTTTTCTTCTTCTTCTCTCTCTAGAAATCAGATTCCGAAGGAAAAAATAACAGCAGTCCGTCATTGAAGAGTTGCAGTGACTGTAGCACTACCAAAACTCCTCTCTGGAGAGGCGGTCCATCTGGACCCAAGGTAAATCAATTTTTTATTTATTTATTTTTTTTTTAATTTTTTTTAAATAAAATATAATATCTGATTTTTATTTATTTTTTTGATTTTGTGTTTACAGTCATTGTGTAATGCGTGTGGGATAAAATACAATAAAAAGCGGAGGCAACTTTTGGGGTTGGATACAGGAAGAACGAACAAGAAGAAGAAGAGAACAAGTGTAACTCGAAGTAACGAAGTAAGCGAGATTTTGAAAATGAGATTTATGGCTTTGGGGAATGATGTTGTTTTGCGGAGATCAGGAAAACTTATGAGTAAATTGAGGGAAGAAGAAAGAGCTGCTATTCTTTTGATGGCTCTTTCCTGCGGATCTGTTTATGCTTAGTTTTAGTAGTAGTACCTTGTGTTGATTTGGTTGTACCCGGATTTCAAGTTATTTATTTAAAAAAAAAAAAAGAAAAAAGGATGAGGATCTAACCAAATGTAACATTAGTTTTGAGGAATGGTGATTTAGTTTTATGGTGGTAGGATTGAACTGATGTAATAGCTAACTATGATAGACTGTTTGGTTATTCTTTTTAACAATTTTGGTTGTTGCTGAAATTAGGGTTTTGACTGGATTTTCTCCTAAAAGTAACTTTAGGGGAATCGTGCTGAATTGGAATTGGCATGGGTAGATAATTTAGGAGATTTTTGCAACAAATGGAATGTGGGTTGGCATAATATCTAGGGATTTATTTGGTACTGGAATTTTGCCTATAATATGGCAACATAATGGAAAAATGCAATCTACCAATTATGTATGGAAAATAATAAAGTGGAAGCTAATTGCCATATTTGTGCACCAAGGAAATAGGAAATATCGATTTCGTGCGATAGCAGGTATAAACTGTACGAGTGTGTATTTTGGTGAGGAGATAACTTGAAGGCCAAATGCCGCACTATGAGAAGCGGAGGATTGGGTTGATGTCGGAGGGGGTACTTCGACGATCAAGTCATAAAAAGGTAACATAGGATTATTGAAAAAATTCAAGAATTTTAAATGAGAGTTTTTATCGGGTGGTTGATGTGTAACTTGGAGCTTGAAAGAGTTTCAAATGTTTTCACAGAACTCGATTGATCAATTGTTTCAAGTCGCCACGTCGCCACTCACTAATGGTAATCCGGACTTTTACTGTCATTAATCACGAGAGCCATGTCGTTTAACATGCGTCTCTACGTACGCAATGATAGTATCAACGCCGGTCCTGGTGTGGGGAGACGCATGCCCAAGCCCATGACCCAATTTTTTCGAATGGTATATTGTTTGAAAAGAGTTATTGGCTGGTAAAACCTGCACGACTATGTCCCGTTTGAGTTCAATCAAATTGGACATACAAAATAATATACGATTTGATTTTCGAAGTTACGAGTAAAATGTACGATTTTGACCTTGCTATCATAAAATCGAGTTAGTATTTAAGTTCGAACCTACCAAAACTCGGGTTCAAACAGTGGCCACCTTAATAATCTCTCTAATACATATTGTAGTCCAAGAGGATTAGGATCAAAATTCGTGGTGCTTCTTCTACTCATTCCGCGATAAACATAATTCAAACGACACGAAGCGTCTAGTACCTCCTGGAGAAACTGCCACGTGTAAAATAAGTACACGTGTCATCCCGAATTGTAAAGCCAACATATATCGTGTAGATTCTTTCTCCAAAGTTCTTATATGATGATTAATTTATATTTTAATTTGTTGCGAGTGCCTAAAATCAAATAAATTAGTAAATTACGTCTTAAATTCCCCCAAAAGAAAAAAAATAAAGGAGATAAAATGCAATCAAAATTGGCTGCCACCGCCGTGAATTTCAGTCGAATCGTATTATTCGGCCCCAAAAGGCTTTTTCTGGGCCAACGACTCGGTTGCGCCACCACAACCGGCAGAACTGCCGATCCAGCTTTGCATTCCGTCGAGCCTGAAGTTCGTAGTATTAGCCCTTGGATTAAATTTTAAAATCAATTTAATTTAAAAAAAATAAATAAATCATATATTGGGTGATCTTAATAGTTGGATTTTTTTTTATTATTAATCATTTAAATCCTGCAATTATTTACAGGATGTCTACCCCACCGAAGCAATTGAGGATGAGAAACTCCGGCACCGGCCGGAAAATGAGCCGACCGGCAACGGCAGCGATCCATATGTTCCTCAGAAGTCGCCGATTGACTCGGCGCCGAAACTGGAATCCACCGGCATCGGTCCGCGAACAAACCCCATCGCGCAACAAAAACGACGTCGTAGTACCGAGAACTGTACCAAAATCGACGACGTGAGCTGCGCCGGAATCGACGGAAGCCCATGGCCGGAGGAAGCTGACAGAAAGGCGGAGAGAGAAGAGCAAGCGGCGGATAACAAGGATTACTTCAAGCACCACAGGGCGTCGCCGTTGTCGGAGATCGAGATCGCGGACACCAGAGGCATGATTGCTAAGGCGAGCGGCGGAACTGCGCAGAGTAAAACGTTTGGATACGAATGGAGTGGAGGAATCATGGGGTGGAGGCCGGAGCAGCTGGATTCTGCCGAGGATTCTCTCCGCCGTGCGACGGAGATATTCAAATGGAACGCGGTGAGAGGAGACCCAGATTCTCCCCATGGGAGAGTACTCAGAGAGCTACGTGGTGAATATTGGTGAATTATGTGAATATTATATAGTTATATTATAAATATGCAATGTATATATTGTATTTCAGTATAAATTATGTCTCAATTTTGCAATAGATATATATATTTTTTATGAACAAAGAGTCTTGAATATTATTGAAATTCATTTCTCTGTTTTAGGTTTGACACTTGACATGCGTTTGTGTGACGGATATATTTGCAATTTCTATTTTATCTTTATTTGAAATTAATTGTAAATGATCAAAAAAATTCTGGGCTTGCATAAATCATTGGTTATGGAAATTGGTATGTTGTGAAAGCCCAAATATATGATCCATTCTTAAACAGCCAACGGCCCAATATGATCAACAATGCAAAATTCATTAAAGTGTTATAAAAAATATTATATTTATTTTACTACTCCAGTACATCGAATTGGGTCTTTCGTCGGTTCACAGTAGAAACAAGACCCACCCACCATATTTAGTCAAAACTTTGGACTCCGGTCCAAACTCGTGGACGGTAGACATAGAAATTACATAAAAGTGGGCCCATTTTCTTTCCACTATTTCCGCAAAATTAACTTCAATTTTTTTTTTTTAAATTAAAAATATATATATGTTTACTTCTGTTGGCGCCAGATTTCCACGAAGGAAGAAATCCGCCTCACTTGGGAAGTAAAGATTGGCTAAAGATTTGTTCCCATGTTTATTTTGGAAATTTAGAGTCCTACCTTTGTAATACTTTAGGACTTAGATTTATTTCCTAGTACTTCATTCTTGTTAGGAATCTTTTATGGCTATCTAGATTAGAACTAGATATTGACTAGGATTCTGTTTCCTAGTTATTCGATTCCTTTGGAAGACAGGTCTTTGGAGGCCCATCTCACGCCTATATAAGGCTCCTCACCTCACAAAGACCGTGACACTTTTTTTGGGAGAAAAATCACTCCGTTGCTTTGAAGAATCGCTGAAACGTTCTGCTGAACAGAACTGTGCCATCGTTGGATGTGTCAACTTATACAGATTGGCTGTATAGATCTCTTGGGAGATCAACCGCGTCACTGAAGGGAGTTCAGGCCAGAAAGGAGTTCTAGGCACGCGGTGTGGAGCTGCTGTTGGAAGAAACACGAAGTTCGAGTTGTGTACAAGAACGGCATATTACATAAAGAGGGAGTCTTTAGTGTTTTTAATAAGTCCTATTAATGTACATTGTAAATCTGAACTAGTGAAATCGTGTTTGCAGGTCCACGTGGATGTAGGGCACAATTGTGTCTGAACCACATTAATTCTTGTGTTCTGTTTATTTACTTTAAGTAGAATATAACTGTGCCAACACAAGATTTACAGTTGTAACTAAATACTGTTTCCACAACTTAACTGTTACAACTTAGATCAACTGATTTCTATAGGCATATAAATCACAATTGGCATCAAGAGCCTCTCACTAGATATACATAGTGTGTGATTTTGGGAATTTGATTTATTTGCCATTTATTATTCGTAGGTACTATGAGTTCTCATATGGAAGGAGGTTCCACGACTCGCCCACCACTACTCACGGGAACCAACTACTCCTATTGGAAGACTAAGATGAAGATGTTCATAAAATCAATGGATGAAGATGCATGGCGAACAGTGTTAACTGGATGGAAGCGACCCGTTGCCACAGATGAGAAAGGGATTGAAACTGAGAAGCATGAGAAAGACTGGAGCAAAGCCGAACAAATTGCAGCAAACATGAATTCCAAGGCCTTGAATGCTATATTCAATGGAATTGATATCAATCAATTCAAGATAATCTCTGCGTGTGAGTGTGCTAAAGAAGCATGGGAGAAACTCCAAACAGCTTACGAGGGAACTGCTTCAGTCAGACTGTCCAAACTTCAAATGCTTGCCACCCGGTTTGAAGATCTTCGTATGGAAGAAAATGAGACCGTGAGCGAATTCAACTCCAAATTATGTGACATATCAAACGAAGCTCATGGACTCGGTGAAACTTATCCTGAAGTTAAACTTGTACGAAAAGTGCTCAGATCCATGCCAGACAGATTCGCGTACAAGATCACTGCCATAGAGGAAGCAAGTGACGTGGACTCATTACGACTTGAGGATCTGATTGGAAATCTACAAACTTTTGAAAACAAGTTGAACATCAGCAGAATGGACAAGGAAAGGAAAATTGCCCTGCAGTCTGTATCAGACACCACAACATCTGTGCCTACTGCTCCTATGTCAGCACTTGAAGTCAAGCTCACAAAATCCATGTCCTTAATAGCAAAAAATTTCGGGAGATTCATCAAGAGAAATGGACAGCCTACAAACTTTGAGAGAAACCCAGACCTCTACAGACAAGCCAGAGGTCAAGAAGCGAATTCGATGTAGAGAATGTCA